AAGAAAAATAGCGGAAGAAATGGAATGTTAATAAAAACTGTCCGCAGTTAGTCAATGATGTCAGAATGGCCGAATAGATCCGCCAGCCGGGGCGTATATCACGTGGGGCACGGGACAGCTGATTCATAATTTGTCTGGGTGGATTGATCTTTGAGGTTTGAAGCAACATGCCGGCGATTTAGCTAATACCTGCAGCTGGGATAACATCACTACTCTGCCTCCTTTCCTACTCCCAGGCTTTCGACTAAGAATTCTTACCTAACAGTAAGCACGAAGTCATTTTCCAAGTGGGATAGGTCGAATTCAAGGCAATGAATCCACAGTTTGTGCCCCATATTTGTTAAGTTAATGGGTCATCCAGTCTATACTTTAATATCACTGTGGAAGGCTGGTCGCTTTACATGAAAATTGAGCGTACGTGCTCTAAATCGATTATTCCAAGCTTCTAGTGAATTTGTACCTAATGCCTTGTCATTATGACGCGAAGTATAAACACAGCTGAAAAATCAATAAGGGAGGATGCAAAGCGCTTAACGACAGCTGGCTATCAAAACTCTAAGCAACGTCACAAGAAAAGGCAAAGGTAATCCTGGCAGACTCACTACAAAATACCATTTAACTAGTTTAATGCAGTAACTATGAGTGATCCCGTTCTAAAGTTCTATTTCCGCTCTGAGGTATTCACCATCCTCACTTCAGTTGGATCGATCAAGACACCTGACCTGAGAGTTCCACATTAAAAACGTAGAGAAACTGAGTTTGTAGACGAATCCTGAACAAGCTCACTGAACAGCCTTGGAAACTCGGATGTCATTTTGTTCCCACTGGAGTGTCCCTTTTTAATTCAGTAGCCATTATGCTATTTTTGAATAAAACGGTCTCCTTTCCACTCGCTTAAATCTACTACATATTCTGAGCGATTTGGAAGAAGATCACTTATTCGAAAGTGGATGTCTGCTTAGCTAGGAGTGTGAAAGATCGTGAAACACTAGACATTTCGTATACAAACGGTGCGAGGACTTTTAGAGTGCAGGAAGGTCGGGGGTCACATGACGGGAAACGACTTGAAACACTGAAAAACTATTGATAAGGGGAGCGCGGCCGCCTCCCGTAGACAGCTATCTTATCTTAAGAGGACATGACACTCGCTGATAAACGATGAAATAAGAACTCGCAAGTTTTCAGTTTAATATTAGTATACCAGCAAAATGAAAACACTTGTCATATTTGCATAATCTCTGGCATCAGCCGCGATTACAAGAATCAACTACAACACGAGCCTTCTTCAGTAAAAAGTCGCAGGTGTCGTATGGCAGGACAAAGACAGTTATTCGTAAGCGGATCTTATGGTTGCCAAGTGCGAACTCAGCCCAAGGCTATTTCCTGCTGAAAAGTATCGAGCTTGGGTGGTCATTTGGGGAATCCACATTGATGGCCCCGTTCTCTGGCATACTGGCTATGAGTGATTTCTTCCTTACCAAATTCTCCTTCCCACAAATAAAATGCTCATAAAGCCTGGGACGACGTTCATTGTTGGCCATAACCCGTTTAACATTAGTCACACATAAAGTTTTAAAATCTTCCTTCGGTGATAATGGTTGTCGTCGACCGACTAATAAAGAGCCGAATCCCTCCTTAAGAAACCATTACCTGCAGCTTTCTGTACTGTGTCAATTTCAACCCTGCACGGGAAATTAGTACGCACTTCACTGCCGTATCCCCCTCCCAGAGTTTTATGGAGCACGGGGGAATTGAAAACGTATCTAATCAAAAACGTTTTCGAACAAAAATATCAGTATTGCTAACATTTACAGCTTTTGACAGCCTATCATAATCGCCCACCTGGCCCAAAAGTTGCAAGCAAGCACTTTTAGGATTGATAATGCCCTTCTCGAACATTTACATTTCAAATTTTGATGTTTCTCCCAGTTCCCAGTTTTGCATAGGCACCAACTTTTAACGATATGTTGCGAAATATAGCAGTCATTGAATGACTGATCATTGATCGGGAACCAAACTGGCCCTAAGCGCAGCTGCTAGTAATGATGTTTGTCTGAGGAGTGTTGCTGAAGAATACACAAGTAAATAAATGAACACAAGCTAGCTTAATATTTTTATAGAAACAATAAATACACTCTGACATATTAAAGACATTATTGCGCAGATAATGCTCGTAACTGTCGAATAATTGTATCCAGCAGTTTTTTTCGATCGCCCTTATTGATACCGAAGAAGCCGGAGCTCTTCTTTTCGAATTCAATCATCCTATAAGAATCGCCACTATATTAAAGGAACACATTATCCAAACTAGCCACATACTTCTCTAAAAGCTGTGTTGCCGTAGCCGCGTTCACACGAACATATGTGCCATTCTCTTGTCCGTATTCGGCAAGGTACGAAGTCCAGTCGTTACTCATTACAAGCTCCAATAACTGCCTGAATTAGCGTTATCAAAACCACTATTAAATCTTCAGAGGAATACAATACGACAATCGAGCAAGACGAATGATTATCCGCCAAGGCCCTTGCACAAGGAATTACGAAAGAAAAACTATTTTCAATTCTGTAAAAATATATAGAGAATACAATACAACTTTAACCTTAGGTGTGCAAAGGTCATTGGAAGCGTATTATGGTCAAAGCCAGCGACAGGACACCTAGCTGTGAACATTTCACACTGCATAACGTCCAAGCTGAACTGCTCCAGAGCCCCCATGGAGATTGCTCGAACATCTGGTGAAAGTAAGACATCCGAGAGCCTTGATGATAAATGCTTGCACGTCTGAATAGTTAACATCGAATGTAAGAAACAAAGTAAGCATACAATTGAATAAAGGTTCTGAAGCTCTACCTATTGAGAGAAGGTGGGATTATAACAAAAGTACATGGAAGCATTATTGTATTCCTACCTGCATGCAAACGTGGCGTGCCAAAACTGATGGAAGATTTGTGAAAGAAAGAAATGTGGTTGATAAATAGTTTATTAAATCACTAATGTAGTCGGAAGCATGTCCTGGAAAGTAACTACTCAAATTTCAAAGCTTTGGACCTGCTGGCACCCTAACAGCCTTCAGAGTGAAGGACTATAGCAGTACCTGAAGAGGCAGGAAGCTCCCAGTCGTACTGCGCCAACTCAATAAAGGCATCAACCTTATCTCGAATACACATTTCAATCTGCTGTTCCACCTAAAACGCCGAGAATTACCTTCAAATAACAAAGGAAGCAATAGTTGCATGACCTCGCTCCTGGCATCCCTGAACACTCGTTCAGTTAAAGATAGCTGATGAGCCGTCATGGATACATTCAACTCGTTGCCACTCGTTATCTTCGTGATATATACTCCCAGGGACTCACACGATTTTTCCAAATAACCAATGTTGATCGTGATTTGTACCAGCTGTAATGAAATCAGATTATGAGTGCACGTTTTTCAATCACATCCACGATTCATCCCAGTGAAATGAGGCACATTCATCAGCCTGCAGGCCAATTCACTCAAAAAGTCAAGCTCAATAAAAAGGAAAACGTACTTGCACAAGCGAAAGTTTCTTCTCTACAAAAGACTTCAGGCTTCCAGACCAACGAGAAAGTAAAACGTTCGCATATCTGGAACATAGGATAAAAATAGGCAAATAATGCTGGCTAAAAGCGTAAGGAAAACCAGTACGGATGTACCTTCTCACGGTGTCATCCATTTCAGAGTGGGTCAGCTGAAGATGCTCCATAAACTTCAAACATCCTTGAAGGTACAACTTAGCTTTGGAGTAAGCAGAAACAACAAAGCGGGAGTAAGGGAACTTTCGAGGGAATGGCTCCTGTAAATCATGATACTAATCTCCCACCCTTAAGAAGTGCACCTCTTGAATTATTTGAACATATGGTTTATACGAAATATCCGGAAACCAAACCTGTTCCATGCTCCTTTTATAGAAAGGAAACTCTTTTATGACAGCACGGAACTGCTCCTCGTTTTCGACGCTGATTGGAGCGTAGTTGTCCTTCTCAAGATCACGCTCAAATTGAGCGCAATATTCGCTCATTAAAATCTCGTTGTACTGGTCCCTGCAAAGTAACACCTATACAAAAATTATTCAACTACCTCTCTTTCACGATCAGTTGCACAGCAGCATAGTTCGTGAAAGCCCTTTTTTCGTACTGAGGGTACAATTAATAGTTCGTTCCAAAGTTAACGAAGAAAAAAAAGCGAAGAGAACTCAAAAACGGTGTTCGTTTTCCCACTAATACGAGGAGAACCTCTGGATTTTTGGCATGGATTTTTCTCCATAATACATGAGAGCTATTTCTAGCCATCAATACATATCTCGAAAGTATACAAAAAATCTAATATTTAAAGGGTATCGCTCTCGAGTTCAATGCAATCAACCAATACTCATCTCTCGAGACCAAGAAAATAGTAATATCCGATATAATATGGAGAGTGTTGAATAGCTAGGAAACTTAAGTGATTACCTGAAGTTCTGCAACAGCGAATAGAGCGGAGCAATGCCATACCCGTATGATTTCATAGTTAGTGCGAACAGAAGGATAACTTTCTTCATACGGAGCATCATCTCCACATCAGGACAGCCTCCCTGTGAAGAACTTAGAATTGGAGCTAGAAAATGGCAATTCTAACGAATTGAAGGAATCAGAAACTAACAAAACGGCTATTCATTGTATGCACAATCTTCTTGAGAGCGCTTTCCCATAGTTGATCTTTATGGGATGATGTGACGAGAGTAGGCTCCGTGATTATAATATGATCTTCCACTACGAAAAAACCAATGATTTCGTCTAGATAATCCACATAATGCTTCAGAGAGTTCATCTTAAATAGTGAAAAGTTGTTTAGCGACAGCACTGTCAAGGAAAAATGAAGCAACCTTAGAAGGCGGCTCAATGACTAGATCACATTGGTCCTTTCTTTGTTGTCGATAGTATACGTCAAACTCTTCTTTAGCGCCTAATACGTTGAAAATCTGACAGCACCTACAAAGACCATCCTTAACAGGAAACCATGAACTTCAATAGCAATTTGACTGTACCTGTGAACAGGGGTGAAATCAATGAGGTCCTGAGCTGACACTTTCTCATCGTCCTGAAACAGTGTAACATTATGATAAGGGGACGTATAAGGGGACGTTGGCAATGTACATACACTATGCTCACAAATCACGAAAACTAAAGTCTTGGAGGTGAAGAAAGAGAATAAACACCTCGAGACTATCTGAGGTATGAACCGGAGCTGAGCCGTTTGATGTGTTCTTTTTCAAAAGTCGTCCATCGGCAGAGACAGCAATTTCAACATCCACAAACTTCCTAAAAGAAAATGGAAGCTCTTTAGATCGGTTCGGACAGTTTCAAGCCAAAATGATAAGAGAAACAATCTTGTACACGAGAGACGAATATTAGATCCATATGCGGCACCGACAGCCTTCAGATTGCGCCCGATTCAAAAATAACGTACTGTTTAGCCTCCTGTTGCAGTTTACGGGCTCGCTCTGCTTCACTGACGCCAAAAGAATGTTGTTCGGCCGTCTAAAAACATGAGCTCGATTAATGAACAACACTTGCAGAGCTTAAGCTGAACGTACACATCTACTGGCGTGTCGTCCGATTCTACAAGCGACCTTCTTAACGTTCTCGAGGAAATCTTTGAACTCCGAATAGGCCTGCAAGGTATGCGTTCGAACGAAAAGTACAACAACAAGAAGGTTATAAACAGATACAACTTTGAGCAAACCTTCGCTTTGATCTCGTTCCGGACCGGAGACATGGTTTTTGCCAAAATCTGGGTAAAACGATACTTTTCAACGAGGGCTAAGTGGGTGTGTTCTAGCTCCTCCAAGACTTTAAGTGCTTGGTAATACCTGCAAATTGAATATTGATAAATACCAAAAAAATGGGGTATGGAAAAAATTACTTCTTGAGTTGCATAAGCTCTTGTAGTTTGGCGTAATTCTCCAATACAGGAAGGCATACTGATATCTGATCGATAGCGGTAGATGCATTCTTCACAAGTTTCCTAAAACGACTATTCATTAGTAAGCGTGAAACTATTATAGTAAAATACAAATTAAAAATACAAATAGAGACAAGCTGTACGGAATGTTTAAGCGATTATTTCCTTAGACACTTCTGCGATGGAGGGGTTGTAAAAATAGCGTAACTACACATTGAGAAGATGGGAGCCACACTCATCATCGATGGTAGCTCTTCACACTCACAGCCATAAAGTAGTAGAAAGATCTTGACAGTGCGGTGAAATTATGGGCAAATGTGATAAAATATAAAATGTAGGCTATTCCCTCTGAGAAATCGTCCAACAAAAGCCCTAAGGAAATTATAACAAACCCACTTACACTCAATGATGGTGATCTTGGTTTTACATCGTTCACAACCTTGTCAGAGCTTTCTTTATCGAGTAGCGACGTCAGGGTCGTTTTTATTTTACAAAGCAGAAACTATAGGATCGATCAGTTTATCGAACTTATTGTTCCCATTAATCAACCAATGAGACTATCGTTTTCCAGTATTAATCGTCCCTTCCAGCACCCCCAAACAGCTCTTTGTGCATTAATGCATTTGACGCTGATATGCCTAGTTGAGCCGTTGATATCTAGCAGGCTTGAATACAAGAACGAACAAACAATATGCATTGAGATGCTTACCTATATTTGACGATTTCCTCACTTTTTCTGGATAAATCCTCGCTTGCGGCTTGGATTTGAGAATCAATAGCTGCAGCATCGTGCTGTAAACAAAACAAAAAGTAGCAATCACTTTGTCTACCATAAGATAACCTGAATACAACGAATCGAACGAGAGTAAATTACATGCCTTTATATCGCTGCAGCGCTCCTTCAGTAATAACAGTTCTTTCATGGAGTCCACAAAACCTTGGTAATGAAAGGAACACACCTGAAAATTTTATAGAAGTGGAAAGGAGTGAAATGCAGTCTACTTCCAATATAAATTAATTAAGAAATGAATCATTATAGGAGGCTATGTGTCCCCAGAGAAAACAGCGCCTATTATTACAGGAAGATCATAGGGTCCGCCATTGCCTTCCCTCAAATATTGGGAAACTTTTCGCCATTCTCTCCTCGCGCAAGTTATTAGCATAAGTGAGGAAAGAGGACACATACAGTTACTATTGAAGATATTTAAAGGAACACAAGGCAGTAAAAAGGACAAGGAAACTTCTTCGATTGCAGAGCTTCACTCCAAACTTTTCAAAGGTAAAGTCATGTCTACTTTATAAATTCTCTACAAGTTTAAAAACAGAAACCACTTACCTTTTGAATGTTTCTATCATACTGATGAATTCTATGTTCGAGGGCGCGACTGAACTTCCTAACATCGCCGCAATCATAGATGGCCCTGTAGTTCTACGTATGTGTCGAGCGTTAATAAATTTGATCAGTTCGACCAAAAATAGGCGACTAAAACCGAAGGTCTCATGATATTTGTAAAAAGGCCACACCTGAGTACCAATCCTATACTACCAGAATCTGTCGTTTCGAGCTCATAGAGGAAAAATTCCTGCTCGGCGCTCATTTCCGGAACTATAATTACTTCACATTTTAACAATTTTTACTACAGGAGTTATTAATCAGCTATGGCTCCATAGAACAATTAATACCCACACGGCTGGTAGCTGGTGGACGCAGTGTCACTGCTCTCGCCAGCCGTATCCTTTGTGCTAGCCACAGATGACCCGTCCATCTTGAGAAATGCAGAACCTGAAGAATATTGAAGAGCGTGGAAACATTAAAACAAGGCCGTATCATTAAGCAACGACAAGACTTCTAAGTCCCATGGCCTACGGATCGCTGAATCAACAAAGACAAGCAAGAAAATTATAGTCACAAAGATTCAGAACAACCGTGGAAACAGTCCTATCGTGTAAGAGCCTCAAGCAGCATCCAGTGCGAGCATGAGAGAATGAAAAAATAACCGAGAATTATCCTGACAAAGCATTCCTTCTTAACCGGCTTTCCAGTATAGAAACCGAGCAAAATCACATACCAAGAGCATAAGATAAGCCTTCGATCCCTACTAAGGTCTATTCCCCTTGAATCTTTACTCAAAACTGCTCCGCGGCTGGAGTATGATCACCAGCACATCACAAAAAGCACTGGAAATAGAACACTTGTCAGAAATAGCTATCAGAACGACAAATATGAAGTTATCCCTCACGAGTAGACGGACACATGAAACGCGTTCATTGTTCCAAACACTCATCGGATTCGGCGTTTATCAAGAGAAAATAAGGATAATCCGCAGTTTTGATTCACTGTTTAGAACAAAAAACAACGGCTTAGGCGTCATGACCGTAGTCGCAGAAATTGCATTTTGCGCGGGTTACAGGACCGTTGTCAACCGCTTGTGTAGTGACTCAGCGTTTTTGTCGTTTTCTCTGCGTCTCCTCGAATAGGCACCTCACCGTGAAGGGATAGAGGGCAGACGGAAGAGCTCGCCATTCTTCAATGCCTCCTGTTCCTGTTACTAGTGATACAATGGGATACCGAGCGAACACTGTCGGGTTAAGATCGGATCAATGGTGTTGCTGTTCTTTAAACGATATTGTTGATCTCAGCGCTGCTTCCCATAAAAACAAAGTAGCGAACAGATTGCAAACTTGGGTATTCTACAAGCCAAATGGATTTTTCACGGTGTGGATGTTCTATGCAGACCTTTTATTAATATTTAGACAAAGATCAAGCCTTTCCTTCTCTCAGACTACCTGAACTTCGAAATACGAAGTTTCCCCAGTTGGAAGAAAGCTGTCTTTCTGAAAGTTTTTCGACTCCTGGAACAGTGTCTAGTGTCTACCCTTGACGAGAGAGCGNGGTTACAGGACCGTTGTCAACCGCTTGTGTAGTGACTCAGCGTTTTTGTCGTTTTCTCTGCGTCTCCTCGAATAGGCACCTCACCGTGAAGGGATAGAGGGCAGACGGAAGAGCTCGCCATTCTTCAATGCCTCCTGTTCCTGTTACTAGTGATACAATGGGATACCGAGCGAACACTGTCGGGTTAAGATCGGATCAATGGTGTTGCTGTTCTTTAAACGATATTGTTGATCTCAGCGCTGCTTCCCATAAAAACAAAGTAGCGAACAGATTGCAAACTTGGGTATTCTACAAGCCAAATGGATTTTTCACGGTGTGGATGTTCTATGCAGACCTTTTATTAATATTTAGACAAAGATCAAGCCTTTCCTTCTCTCAGACTACCTGAACTTCGAAATACGAAGTTTCCCCAGTTGGAAGAAAGCTGTCTTTCTGAAAGTTTTTCGACTCCTGGAACAGTGTCTAGTGTCTACCCTTGACGAGAGAGCGCTCTGAAGGAGAGTACGGACAACGAGCGGACACGCCCCCCTCCCGCTGGTGAACACGAGACGCAGAGATTGCCTCGCCGTCTGATCCTCTCAGCGAGAGAAATTCTAGTTGACAACAGCCCTGTAACCATTTTGCGCGTCAACGGGTCTTCGCCGTTGGAGATAATTGCGCTCGAGGTTGTATTCGTCACCATTTACTTCCATTCCTAAAATTTTTGTAAACTCAGTGTTTCCACTCGATTTGAGTTGAAGAGCTGCCTGATGCTTTTTGTTTTGCGAAATCTTTCAAGAAAGTGCCTCAGACAAATCGCACAAATGTATGACGAAATCCTGACGAATCGTCCTCGAGCTTATTCGGTTTTCGTTATTTCTTACTTCTTTATTGCAAAGATTATAGAGTTTACCTCTGATACCCCTTGCGGTCAAGGTATTTTGTTATGAGTGATGGCTATTCAATGAAGCAGCGGCTTCCTTGTATGAACTGTAGTTGATCATTCACCCCTTTCTTTCTTGATGCTCTTAACAGTGCTCAGAAATCACGGACTGATGGTGAAAGCCGAAATTTCCTGATAAGCTAAAAAACACTGGGCAACTCCTACTTTTTGTTTGTAACTTCTCTGTAACTTTGTAAGTTCTGATTCACTTAGTGTATTGCAGAACTTAGTTGTTTTATACCTTTCATGAAACAAGGATTGAAAAGAAAGTACATCTCAAGTGATCTGTGGACACGATCGGGGGCGACACGTGTACATCAAGCGTGACTTCGTGAATTCGGCGATTTCTCTGCATCCTTAGCTTGTTCATTGCCGATTTCCTCGTTAATATTACCACGTTTCATCGAATTTACTGCTCCGCAGTTAAATTTCAATATGGTCCATCTATGCGTCCTTCATACCCACGGGAAGCTCTGAATGTCTGTATACCTTCATAGATCCAAACTGCTGGTAACTGGTATTGGTAGCTTAGAGATTGTTTTTGGGTGGCATGGAAGCAGTAAGCGAGACCCATTTCACTCTTCATTTGATTCGAACAACTTCAGTTCAGACTGAACAAAACTATCAATCTACGAACCCTAGGGAGTGGGCGTGGCTACAGGTTCGGAGTGGGGTGCTGCTGACACTATCAAACTCAACATCGGATCCTTGTGACTCTTTCCCATACAGCACCACTCATAACAGCCTACCGTTGGTCTCGTAAAATTCTCCTAATTGCTTTGACATTTTGTTCTTGTTGACTGCTGCTATTTCGCCGCAGTGCTCGATGCGAAAGCTTCGTAAGATTGGCAAATTTAGACAAAACTTTGTCCTCAGACGGGTTTTGAACCCATACATCTGCTTTTATAGCATAAAAGCCAATAAGGAAACTAGAGCAATCGGGGTATCGGTTGTGTAAAGGATAAGGAATACGTTTCCCTTCAAGGGCTCGTGTCCTTCAACTGCGAAGATCTGTCCATTATTCGCCAATCTTGTGAGATCTCCTAAATGCATGGCCAGGACTGAGTTTATTGCCGAACACTGCATTGTAGTCATTGATTGCTCCGCACATTGCACATCGCGACAGATAACTAATACAAACAAGAAGTTTTTTTCAGAATCAAATGAGCGAGGAATACGAAAGCGTTGCATTGGTTAAACCAGAAATTTTCGTGTACAGAATTCCACCCCTGGGAACGAATAGGGGTCATAAGTGAGTTTGTTCTTAAGTTTGAAGTGATTCCATTGATCTCACTTTACTTCTAGCATTTTACTGCAACTCAAAATCATTAATGATCTCGTTTCGCTTACATCGGGTCATGTGACTGGGTTGACTGGTCTACTTTCATTGTTTCCGCTTCCTTGGTTCTCTTTTGGTATGCGTGGATTCTAGTGCATGAAAACATCTGTTGGGAATCAGTTAATATACCAATGTTGATTTCATAGCGATCTTGGATGAATAACAGAGTCGGCCCGCACCAGTTAATTAGGTCCATCATTAATATTGTTGTTGTGATCATAATGCAGGATTAACATACTGCTATGAAATGTTATAATTAAGTCGTGACAGACTTAACTGTCAGCGGAACACTGCGTATATCTAAAACGAGAAAGCTTTCTCAAAAATGGCTGTAAAGTCGGTTTTTTGTAGAGCAGCAGATTGGAAATTGGATGCACCTGATTGGACTGGACGTATGAGATTGGTCACAATTGGCAAACGGCTTGAACTACGACTGGAAGACAAAACGACAGGCATGTATTTAGTTTTCTTTTGAAGCAGTATAGCTTCGGAGATATAATTCAGATTTTTTTATTGTTTGATTCCAATTTCAGCTTGGCGAGATTATTTTCGTAGTCCAAATTCACTCTGCGTTGGCCAGTGGGCGTGACTGGCTGCTTTCAGACTTGAACGACACAACCGACGAGCGCGCGCATCCGACCGAGGTCTTGCTGGCTATGTGTTGACAACACTGGGCGCCGATATCAATCACATCGAATCATCGAATCGAATCACACACCATTGTTGTCAACAAGTAGCTAGCACCGCCGTCGGTCGGACGTGCACTCGTCGGTTGCGTCGTTGAAGTCTGAAACGAGCCACTGTCGAAGGTGTCGGCATGATAGCATTCCACAACTTGAAAGCCATCAAACAAGGCTGTTACTCAGAGCTAGTAAAAAAAGAATTAAGGTGAGAAAGTGTAAAGGGATGAGTGCATTCTTATACCTTTGTCTGCGCTCTGTCAGAGAAATAGTATGGTGCTTGTCATATACCGTGTCAACTTCCTTCGCGATCTTACTCCCTTCGCTGCTCTCGCTCAACCCTTTAGAATTACGAAAAACTCGATTGTAGTACTCAGGATCGTTTCTGAACAACTCAACTACAGGCCAGCAAATATGTCCCTTATTCTTTGCGCTCTACTCTTTAACGCTGAGGCGTACAGCTCCTCGTGGGAATCGATTGAAATCCCAGCGCATGATTGTTCAACTCAGGAGCCCAAGTTAACATGTCAAAACGTCTATAAGATTGGGATGTACTAGGTTCAACATGTTAACCCAATTCGTCATCCCTTTCTTGCATTTCGCCCTGTTCCATTTCAAGACGCCCTAAAGGTCCCGTCTAGGACCTAAACGTATTCAATACACACATCCCAAACCCGCCACATATGCGACTCATCGGAAAAAGGCCCTGCGCAAAGCCTACGGCTTGGCTGGTTCGGAGCAGTTGTAGTTTAGGTGGATTGCCCCCCAACCAGGCATCCGGGACTCAACCATCACCCCGACGGAATAGTTTCCGGCTTGGCTTTTTGTTTTTGTCAAGTCATGGGTTCCACTCAGGTTGTGCTCCATTAACAAGAGATGTTTCAAAAATTGATTGAATAACAGGAGTAACAATAATCCTTCACATTTTATCTGTTGACTCATGATTTTCATTGTTGAAAGCATTTGTACTAGTAATTGAAACAAGGGTGTTCAGGTGTTCTATACGCTAAGTGTCCCATTGATGCTTTTCCGAGCGTATGTATTGAACCAGTCATCGACTCTTCGCGATATTTTGTTATACGGCTAATGAATGACGCGGGACAAGTAGCATTCGTTGGTTGCGGTTTCGCTGATCGAGGAGATTCATTTGATCTTAATGTTGCTCTGCAGGTACAACGTCTAAAGTCTTTTCTTTGCAGATTGTTTTCGGGAGAGCTCATAGCTTCTAATAGTGTAATCTTGCAGGATCATTTCAAATACCTTGAAAAGTCTGCCGAGCTCGAACAACAAATAAATGATCCTCAGCCAAGTCTTGATTTGGCTTTCAAAGAGGGTCAAACAATTTCTATTAATATTGGTGTAAGTACTTTTTTCGTATTATCATCACATTTCGTCGGTCATTAGGGTCAGCTTTTTATGTCATCTTCATTCTTGAAATCAAACATTTTGATATTTAGAAGAAAGGTCCGGACGGTCAGCCATTGCCCGCTCGGTCACGACCGCGACCTGCTCCAGTGGGCGGCAGTGTGCCTCTACTACCTCCACCTCCAGGAGGTTCCGCGGTATGATAGGACATGTTTGAGAGCATTTGCTTTTCTCTTACAGAGCCGTTTTTCGCTTTTCGTATTATACATTTTTTACATTCATAGGTACGGAAAATTTCACCAGCACCTGCACAGACTGGTTCTAAGAGTAGCGCAGTGGATGACTTGCTGTGAGTTTTGTTCTTGAATTTATCCATCCAATGGAGAGTATTTGAGCGTTTGTTTCCGCTCAGTAACACTTTCTCGGTTCCAATGCAACTTATTTCAGGAGCCTATAATATAAACTGCAATATCCCTGTCATTCCATCAAGTTCCTCTTCTAATCCTAAGTTAATACGTTTTGCGATTTTAACACTAGTTTATGCTTGGGTTTTGTAGCGTAATTCCGTTTAATTTCTTGGTGACTTGAATAACTCGTTGTGACGTAAGTAGATCAGACATACCTCGACATTAATCAGATCAAGTCATATTTGTTGGCTGATCAAAAAAAGAAAAAAGATGGTTACTAGCAGCTTTCGCGTAAGTACACTTTTCTTCCATCTTTTGAATGTCATCGGTTTCCACATTGTGCTGCGTACAATGAGTCTGGTGACTCCGAAAACGCCATAATTGTTGGAAACTCCTTAATTGCCCATAATTGTTTTGTTGTTGTGCCCATTGGTTACACAATATTTATTTTTGTGTAAGAAACACTTGGTAATTTGGTGAATCAAAAGAGCTTGTTGCATTATCATATACTATGGAGAAGAATTGTAGGGTGCACCGAATATCATACATATAGGCCAGAAGTATATTGTTGTCCATGTTTTTTTGGAAAGTTCTGTTGATTTAAAATCGGAGCCAGTGAAATTGAGTGAAGGAAAAATCTAGAAGAAATTAGGGTTAAGGTTTTATTGAACGCTCGATTTTTCACACCTGAATGCGCCACTCCCTGTATAGGCCTTTTAAAACCAGGGCATTGTAGCAATTCTCCAAGTTATTAAAAAGTAACCACTCATCTTGTAATTGAAACAGGAAAACCTGCCTGGAAAATGACTACAGTAAATCAAACTACACCGGTTAATTCAGTCAGTGTACTCGCGCTACATTACTCACCAGCAGGGTGTGATGTGTAGCCAATGAATTTCGATTCAAAACTGATACCACAAAATTCTTAAGATAAAATAGCTTAGTGGCTTTAGATTTGCAATCGTCTTTGGTTCCTTCATTAGCGGTGTGTCTGGTCTAAAAGTTTTTTCTGTGTTCTCGTTGTAGTATCCTTATTCATCGATGTGTAGAAATTTAATCACAACTGTACGAAATAGAGCTCTTGATGCCTTTCAAACATAGTTATGTAATAAATTGTTCCAACAAGTTCGCATCACATTGAACATAAGTATTTTTGCGGTTATACTTCTCTCTGCTTGTCTTCGTATTCCACATTGTCTAATATCTATCAGTGCTCTCTAGGCAATGTATCCTGTAGCCGATGCTCGTGCATCATTTTCACAGTTTCCACAGCCATCTGGTGAACCAAACCCGGCTGCTGTACGGCGCCTCCAACGGGACTTTGAAAAACTTAACAGTGAACCAATTGACGGAATCGTAGCAGTTCCTGATGATGCCAATATTCTGGTATGGCATTATGTGATTAAAGGATCACCTGATACTCCGTATGAAGGTAAGCGTGTTGTCGCATATCATCTTAATTCCATTGCTATAGTTTTTAGATATTTTGCGTAAATTGTTTGTAGAGATTTTCAGAATTTTTTTCCCCACGTTGTGGCTGACCGGCCAAATTTTAGGTGGCTATTACTACGGAAAGATATTATTTCAGCCAGATTTCCCTTGGAAACCTCCAGCGATATGTATGTTAACTCCTAATGGAAGGTTGGTGCATAATCTTTTCAATTGTTTACTAAGCCATATTTCGAACTTCATTTTATTATTTTCAGAGACCGGATGAGCTTTTTTTGTTTTCGCACCAAAAATTCTACCCGATATTTTTCAGGTTCCACACAAATACTCGACTGTGCCTGTCAATTTCTGACTATCATCCTGAGACTTGGAATCCGGGCTGGACTGTATCATCAATTCTGGTTAGTTGTTATTCATAACCACTTCTTCTGTAGCGATATCTGATCAGTAAATATGCAACATATTCTATCAGAGTAGCGGTAATCAAATGGGATCTTCAAGGTGATTGCCTCAGGACCGTTGCTGTGAACTTGTTTGCGAGTTTCTGAAGAAGTTTTGGTGTGCGAATTAAATATTGGCCTTTCCCCTCTACATCACAACAGTACCTCACAAAAAGTAATCCGGCTAGGGATCAGGTCGAAGCAACACATGGTCCACAAGAAAACTCCCTGCTCAGTCTTGAAGATGTTGGACTTGATCACTGTGATGTCCCCTCAGCAATGAAACTGGGCCTTCGAAAAAAAAAATGGTAAAGAAGAAACTTTCTTATTAGCATGGTTCGAATTTTTGTGATTTCAGACCATGTACAAGCAATCTGAATAATGAAAACTTTTTGGCTAACATTTGGCAACTAAATTACTCAGTACCTAACCCATTACCACGCGGCACTGCAAAGTTGTTTTCCGAATGCTTTCCATAAGGAGTAATGGATAACGTTTTTGAAGGTTGGCCTTCAAAGCTTTATGAATGAAGAATCTCCAGCAGCTGGAGTGATCAACGAACCTCTTGCCATGCGGCGTAAGTATGCTGCAGAAAGCAGGGCATGGAATCTTGCGGTAACTTTGCAAGTTTTTTTCTTATTTATTGTGTTAATAGGAACAGCTGATTTTGGCATTTCGCGGCTGATTCGTAGTGCAATTCGCGTAGCACAGCTTGATCACCGAAAATAATGGATAGGAGAGATGGGGATTTCATTGTAAGCGCCAGTGATTTGTTCGTTACGTGTCCTGCCAAAGTGAATGTCGCTGTCAGCGGTTAACGTCGGTTTTTGGGCATTCGAGGCTAATTTCGAACAGCTCAACCTTTTTCGGGATAATGTGTAGTATTGAAGGTGCCCCGTTTCGTCATGCATGCCTTTTTTTTATAAACTTGATCTATCTTCTTCCTTGTTGTTCTCATGACCTTTCACTACTTTTTTTTATATCGAATATTAAAAAAGTTTTTAGTGCCCTGGTTTCAAGGAAAATTTTCCTTCCCTGATGGATGAGCAGGATATTGTCACGGCGAAGGCATCGGCGTCATCACCTAACTTCAACAGTTCGAATTCCGATGGATTCAACAGTAGCCGGGATAAAACGGCAATTCCTCATGCTCTCAAACCTCTTCGAATGCCTGAGCGTAACGTTACAGGTACAGTTGAAGTAAATGAAAGACGTGCTCAAAAGCGTCCAGCTGACACTTGCATTACCAAGCAAACCCATTTTTACCAGCCTCCTCAAACGCAATGTGAGATCATTGAATTATCAGATGATGAGTGAGCTCACAAGGAGATCGATTGACCGATGCCTCTACAGCCTTTACGAGATTTGTGGCTTGTGCTTCGTTTCACCTTTTGTTGCAACAAGTTGGCGTTAAACTCTCCATTGGAATTATTATGTGGCTTGTTCTTCCTGAAACATAGGCTGTGAAAACTACATTTTTGTACTGGTCACCACTTAGTTGGCAAGGCAGTCAGTGTATTATCATTAACAATCTTCAAGCTATTGAGCTCGAGTGATTTCGTTTAATCGGCTGGTGATGAGCACGAAATGTACACGGTTGAGTATTACTGTGTTGATAGCATATCATAGGCACGTATTGCATCACTAGTGAAGGATGCATTCCCGTTAGATGTTGGATAGCACTCTCCTTACCACTCCGCCACACCGATGGCGTCAACGTACCACAAAAACTGAAATAGTTCCTATCCAATTCAGATTCATTCTGACGCTTTTTTAGGGAGGCGACGATACAGTATTTACCTAACTATAACATTTAAATAAGGAATCATTATACCAGCTCACTCAAGCCTCGGCTGTTGTTGCCTTGCCAACCTTGTGTCTCCAGCTCTTTAATTACACCATTACATTACGTGGTCAAAGTGGCCCAAAGGGCCAGAACATTTTACTGGTCGCAGTGTTCCTTCTTTTTGTACAGAAAACTCTGATTTTTAAGGACAGGTTAGGCAGGCTAGAGAATTTTAGCTGTTTGTAGAACCATATTTTAGCATTAGTAAATATTTGGTTCATTCACGACACGAGTACAGGTGGACACTTTTTTCTGAAGTTTGCTTTGATTAACCATACATTGCCTTGGCCTTAAATGCATTTGTTTTTAAGCGAAATGTCTTTAAAGACTTCCTATTTATGTGTATTGCTGTATTGGTGTATTACCGGTTAGTTTCTGATGAAGATAATGTGTGTTTACACGACTCGAGTCATTTTACTGGTTCTGCGTTATGTACATGACTCATATCAGTTTTGCTTCTCATCTGTATAGAACTTTTTGTTCAGTTCATTTCTACTCTGCTACCGTGGTTAGTGGTTGATCGTGTTGGTTTAGATGTTTTGTATGCTGTCTTCATAGTTCGGATCATACCTTAACCCGTGTAATTTATGATATGCATTGATTTTACGCTCTTGTGGGCGACGTTATGTACTTCGCACAAAATATGGGTTGGTATGAATTCGAAATGTGAGCAAAGTTCAGAATTGACGAAAAGTCGGTTTATGATTATCTGCACATGTCCGTGTTAAAGATTTCATCCTTACCTTTGATTGCCTACTATGAGAAGATCATTAATAATGAAGATATTTACTGAAGTTGTTTTCTTGGTGATTTGAAGAGGTTGTTATAAACATCCTGTTACCTACTAACTTAATTTCTTATTCGGGAAAGAAGCGAGGTGAGATGGTGAATGAATGCAGCATGAAACAGGGTTACGATCGCAACCAAGAAGTGTAGAATTGGATTTGTCTGTGGTACTGTGCAGATCGTAGCGTGAAGCGCGTTAGACAGGGTGGCCGTCCAGTTGGACACATATAATCCTTATCGCAGATTTATCAATAACGTATTCGATGGGATCAGTTTACGGGTCAGCTTGTACTATCGCCGTCGGCGTGTCCAAACCAGGGGGATGGAATCGCGGTGATCTGGTTTTATTGTCCCGGTGGAGATAGTATGTGCACGCATTGTGCTTCAACGTAGATTAGGGAGAATTCCTTCCCTGGCAGGGGCATAATGAAATTTCGAGCATTGTGTAGATTTCTTTCACCTATTTCATTCGAATCGTCACGACTATCATCTCGCGCATAGTTGATATATAACGCCCAGCGCACCTCAGTAAGAACGCGATCCTGGTCGTAAACATATCGCTACTTGAGTTCGAGTATGTCTAGAGCTTATACATGAAGGAACTGCTGTTGTCAGTTTCTAAAAGGTGCAGGTGCAACTTAGCAACTCATGGGGTAGGGACAGGAACGGAAAATGAATTCCGCAGTGCTTGAAAGCTGCATTTCACTGGGACATGAAAGAGTTTTTTTTTTGAATTCTGTGCTGTGGGTTTGCATCGAATGCGGCCTTTAAGTTGTGAAATCTTCTGATTCCAGATACAGTAATGGTTGTGGCATCGGTTACCGCTACAGCTCGATTAAAGAAGGACTATGCGAGATTACTGAAGGAACCGGTGCCATACGTACGAGCAGCACCATTACAGGAGAATATCCTTGAATGGCACTATATAATCTATGGTGCGCCGAATACACCATATGACGGTGAGATCACGTTGGATTCTATGTCTACTGTTTAAGGGAAATTATATTCATTTGTTTATACTTGTTTATTTTATTCTTTTTTAATTTTCTGCTCATCAAGGAACTGTTGTTTCGATGTTTCCGTTCTGGGGAGAACTGCGGACATACAGTAGCGCTTAAAGTATTCGGCCAAGCAGTTTTTCGACCGTAACTCTTTTCCCAGTCGAGCAAATCGCATAAAATTTTGATATACTTAATTGAAGCATATTCCACACTATCCAACACTATTTGACTGTGAAACAGCAATGTCCACATAAGTAAAGGGAAGGCGTTTAAGGACTATGCTGGAGGAAAGTTTGTAAGGTCTGCAGTTATTCGCACCTTATGTGCGTTTTTCTCCTCTACTGTGTTCAACATTAGCGCTTTGGACACTTTAGACATGGCAAAAAGGGAAGAATTCTTAGAAGCGTCAATGTCTGTATTTCTAGTTGATTTCAATTTCAAGCTTTTTGGGATACTTGGAAAGTGGTCAGATTGAGTGTTAATAATGGTAAATATTTACACTACACCCTTGCTACACATGTTGCAATTTCGCATGGTTAGATCCAGTCGGAAAGTCGGACTGAAATTGCGACTGAAGAAGCATTTGACCGAATAATTTTGAGCGCTACTGTATGCACACATAGTAGATGGAAAATGCATGAATTGTGGATACAGTTTTTTTCGATGGTTTCTTACAAGAGTCATTGCTGTTCGTCAAATCAATTACAGTCATTCTAGTCAGAATTTCTCTATGCATGCCTTGTTTCTAGGAGGTGTCTATCACGGAAAATTAGTCTTTCCAAGCGACTTTCCCTTCAAGCCGCCTTCAATTTATATGATAACGCCAAGTGGTCGGTTTCAAGTGAACACCAGGCTATGTTTATCGATCTCCGACTTTCATCCAGACACATGGAATCCGGCATGGACGGTACGATCCCATGACTTTCTATTTCTGAGCAAATCTTATTTACCAATGTTCCAGGTGTCGACGATCATCACTGGTCTTTTATCTTTTATGAACGACACGGCACCCACATTAGGTAGCATTACATCATCTGAAGCAGAGAAAAAGATACTTGCTCGACGTAGTAAGGCTTTTAACTTAAAGGTATGTTGGTCTGTTCTTAGCTCGAGTTTCGCTGTTCAGAAAACTTTTGTTAAAGGTCTAGCATCGAACTTTTTGTTGAACACGAACATAATAATGACTATTCTGATATATCTACCGAACAATAGACAGGGTCTATTAAATTATGTCAATTTTCCATTATCAATTATGTTCTCACAAACGTTTTACAAGTTATGATGGGCCACCTAGAAAATGCTAGCGCTCTAGGTAAACTTGTCTCAACCTTTTTATGATGGCTGTGGTAAACTGAAACGAAAATCTGCAGGCCGTCTTCATTCAAAGGAAACAGGNTGGGGGGGGGGGGGGGGTAGCATATCGTTGCTCGCTTCTACACACGTAAGTCCGAAGATCAGTTCCCTGTTTGATGCTCTTTCAAGTAGAGCAAGCTTTGTTGCACAGTGGGGTAATTAGCATTAGGCTCTTTTGAGACGATAAAAACACTGGTGCATTTTTCGGATCCACCATGGGAGTTGGTGGAGAAAGATGAGATTGAATGAGCGGAAGCCATGCCTAAATTAGATTGAGCGATTCTGAAGGCTTGTTTTTTTTTTATTTCACGCAAAAAAACTTATACAGAAGGAAGCGCTAATTTTAAAATGTTCTGTGTTCCACATCTTTTTGGTATACGAGCTGTAATATTTTTCTTTCTCTATCAAGTGCTTTGAAGGAATTCGGTCAATGTGCCGAATCATTTCTTCACATTTAACAGGATCGAGTGTTTTGTGAACTTTTCCCTGATGTGGCCGAGGAAATTAGAAAAAGTCTTAGTGAGGCTAATACTGCTGAAGAAGCCACGTTGAGAGAAGAAGAGGAACGACTAAGAAGGTTAGTTGATTTCCACTTCGAATTCCACTATTTTAACGACTTTTTTTCTGATTTGTCTGTGCGAATTTGGGCCTGGGTCAAATTTCGATGCAGCTGATTCCATTTGATATTGATTGATCGGACAAGTGTTTTTCTCGAGAAAATTTTCCAGTTCAAATGAGGGTTTAATTGAGAGGCATACTTGTCTCCCTCTACATGAATGTAGTTTCTTTCAATATTTGAAAGCCCATTCGCACAATCGGGGAAGGAAATTATGAAATTTTGCATTCGGCTCAAATATACATATTCCTTCCAGCTCTATTTGTATGGTCCTTTTTTAAGTTACCGGGGAATTGTGAGTATTCGCCCCAATAATTCATGAACTCATGATCATTTGTAATAACGATATTCTATTACTGGTATATGAAATTTTAGTGCTGCCGAACCGTCGTCGGGTCTTTCGTCGCTTATGTCGAATCTAATTGTGATTGCAGGCGTCGTGGTGCTTGCGTTTGCAGTTAGATATATGATCCATGCTGCACAAGAGCAAGATTCGCATTACAAGTAGCTCTAACAGTTCATGTGTGTACGTGTATTCGAATTCTCTATTGACTTTTTCTTTGATTTTCATTGGTTCATTGGCTTTTTTCCACAGTGGTGTACTCCCCTTCACCGCTAGGTATCCTTTTTTCTGCAATATTCTCCATAGAATGCTAGCAGTATGATCGCGTGCGGATGAGTATTACGATATGTTGTTTTTGGGTTCTTTCGTTCCTATCTTCCTCATACTGCATGCAGTTTGATGCCCCAGTCGGATATGTGATGGCTAGCTGAATTATCAATCCTAGTCTCCATAGTTCTATTCGATTCACTTTTTTGCTGCTTTTCAAATTGCTCTAGCGTTGTAAGGGTGTTTAGTACTGCTCTCTGCTGTATTGGGGTGTTATTTCTGATAGGACGTTTATCACTGCTTCTTTGGGCGTAGAAAATTTGTTCAGAAAGAACGGTAATTTTTCATGTTGTTTTGGATCCTTTGGGAGATCAGGTTCTCTCGAGGAGGAGAAGATTTATAAGCGGAGGGTTCCTATTTTGATATTGCGTTTTCATGATCCATCCCAGTCGGTGATTGTTATGTTCACAAGTGGTGTTTTCGCTGTCTCGCTGTTCGCTTTCAATCCATTTTAGAAGTGCAGATATTTGGGAAAATTTTGGGTTGTAACACGGCTGTTACCTATATAGTTACGAGTTCGTGTATGGGGTAACCCCAGCTTAATTCACAGTGAAAAAGGAAGTGGTACAGAATATCCCTATCACATATGTGTGGCCCTAAGCCTTCAGCTAATCATTGATGGGAAAATCCACCCAAATTGAGGTGAATCAGTGGGCTTTGTAAGTGCAGAATGTTCCAGCATACTGAAGAAGTCTTATGCATAGGTTTCTGTGCAAGCACGAGGGAAATATCTTTTTGATTGTAGTGAAGCCTTGCATCTCAACTGAAAGCCTAGATGTGAAGGAGGAGTAGATCATTCGAAAAATGAAAGTGATAAGTCTCTTGGGTTTTAATGGGAGTCTAATAAGAGAATGGAATGCTTCGAGCTGGACTAGACGAAGCCTTCCGTGAAGCAGTGGAATACTCGGAACTCTTTGAGAACTGTTGAGTTGTTTTTCGAATAGATTATCGATTGGGAGTGTTATTTGGTATTAAAGAATGACTGATATGTGTATATCTGTAATCGTTTGGACCGAAAACACCATTTCGATACACAATGAAGTGTATCTTGCGATGTAATGACATGCCCTCTATTTCAGTTCTTCATTATCTTGCCGGCGTACGGTTTTGGTGATGCCTCTGAAATATCCTCGTTCCACCATTTTATAGGTGTGTGTTTGCTAACTAGCTGTGGTTCCATCATACTGATTCCTTTGTCGCAACGATTTACTGGACGGTTTACTGATGCTCCTGCTGTTCTGGTAGTTTCCCGTGATTACTAATACTTTGTATGTATTCAATGAATAGTGAATATCAGATTATGTGATCATAAACTATACTAAAAATGGTATCAATAAAATTTTAGAATTGATTTTTCAACTTTTGAGTGGTTAGCATATGTTATTCAAAATGTTACCTCTGTTCATTCACAAGGACGACTCTGTTAAGATTTTAAACGTGACTTTCCTTACCCATCTATCATTACGAATGAATAGAATAACATGTTCCAATTGTTTACAGTTGCGATCTTGGTCTCATTGATGGCGTGGTATCTGAATACGCTCCCAATACTCGGAGATTGGCCCACACCTACTGATGAGAAAACACTATTTTGCCAAAATGGCTTGTTTCAGACAGCCGTCTGACAAACAAGACGAATTGTGAACATACCTTCGATCTTAGTTCTTTGTGAACATACCTTCGATCTTAGTTCTCTTTCACCACCGAGACNGGCACCGAACCGTGAAGTTGTCATCTTGTAGAAGCTATGGCCCGAAAGCCATTAACAAATGGAGGGCAAGCGGGGTCTCGATAGTACAAGGGATAAAAAGCACGGCGCCAGTAAAGCCACCATTAGTTTGAATTGCGTCCGAGGTCGAAGTAATGCCTACATCTACTCATCCATGTGAAATTCTTGGATTATTATTGACTTTGTGGTTTTGATGGAAAGATAGGCATTCAGCTTCAGTTTATACAGGCTTTCATTTTTAAGCGAGGGTTAGACCCTTCGTGTAGCCTGCGACAAACGCGACATTGGGAGCCATACAGATCGGCCCGGCCTTGCATTTCATAACTTTCCACGATCACAAGTTTCAGCAGAAACATTTCCGAGACTTTATAGCGCTCAGATTACCGTCATAGTGTTGGATGCCAAGAGTTCCACATGTCAGAGAACTCATTGTAGTGTTAGCATGATTGAGATAGGGAGCAGAATTTGTTTTCTTCGTGTTGATCCCTTCCGATTACGTCCCCAGAAACCTGGAATATAACCGAATAACTAAATAAACAGTAACTGCGCTTCAGTCTGTTGAGTTTGGTAGAAGGGATAAGAGAGAGCATCCACTGAGAAGCAATCAGTTTAACTCCCTATAATCGGAACCCTTTTTATCGGCGTTATTTTCAGATGTCTTTCCTTCGTAGATATTTATTGGCAGCCATTTCCGTTTGTATCATTTGTACCATAATAATCTCCTATAACTGTTCATGTGAGTCTGGGAATGGATCATACATGCCGAAATTAGCTGCTCAATCAAATGGTGAGAGTTATGCTTGAATCTGTATTTGTAATGGCTGAGTAAACTTGCCTTCTCGTGGCATCTGTGTCCTAGATGGTTATCGATTTGGTGCGCTTCTAAACGAGACGGTTTTAATCTCTGTTTACACTCACACCCCTTACGTCCTTAAAGTGTGTGTGAAAGAAGCCTTGGATATAACGGAAAGAGGCGTCCGGTTTCTCATTAATAATCACTTTTAGTGCCATCTACCGAAGTGAAACCAGCGCTTCCGGAGACATTTTTATTGATCACCATCATGTCTTCTCCGAATGAAAGTGAAGCAAGAGCGGTCATACGTGATACATGGTTGCGACTATCACAAAAAGGCCCAACTGTGGTGCAGCATTGTTTCCCTATTGGAGCGAAAGGATTGAGGTAAGGTTGGTCCCATTTCTTATAATATTTATAGCGGTTTTTGCATTTTCAAATTTGGCGGAGACTCACCGTTTGAGTGGTGGGGTCAAGCTGTAAGGACAAAAGTGCCATTTTCTGACTCTTTTTCAAGTCTCCTCGAAAGCCCTTCATCGAGAGATTTATCTCCTCACTGGGCAGCACACAATCGTAAAAAAGTATAATGCCAGGTGAAGCAGGTTTGTCCGATGGACATTTTTTGCTGTGCATAGCCGGTTTGCCTTTCGGCAAAGATTGGAGGTGTCACCCCTGGTGAATCAGAATGTTCTCTTGCCATGCTTTTTCTGTTCCTATGCTCTCTTTGAAACTCGTCCACCTTGTATGTATTTAATCACGGTCTAAGTTTATAAAACTCTAGTTATTATCTCATAGTATTTTCTAGTAATGCAACTCGACTACAACTTGAAGAAGAGCAAAAAATTCATGGTGATATCGCAATAATAGAGAATTTGGAAGAGTCGTATTCGAATCTCGCTCTCAAAACTTTGAGAACAATGGAGTATGCGTATCAAAGTTTCCGTTTCCAGTATCTTTTAAAAGTTTGTTTATTTTCCCTTCTCTTTTTCTTCAACTTTCAAGAGGAATGTTTCATCCGTGACAGACTGTTTTTTAGGTAGACTCTGATTCATTTGTGCGTCTAGGAGCTTTCATCAAGTCACTAAAAGATATTCAACATCCTCGTTTATATTGGGGTTTTCTTGACGGCAGAGCGAAACCGTTTCGGAAAGGGAAATGGCGTGAATCCGATTGGATACTTTGCGATCGCTATCTCCCTTATCAGGTTTCGAAATTCAGTTTTGCAACTTTCCAAATATTTCTTGACGAGAAAGAAAGAATAATCTGGAGGAACGGAAAGTAGTGGGGGTTTCGGGTCTTTCATTCGAGTGTTGTGTTTTTTTTTTGTTGCTCGTCGAACTCCACAGTCCTTTGGACCCGATCGGTACCTTTTGCAGTCGTATTTGGCACCGTCAATGAGTTAGCACCCAACAATTCATTTCTATCCCTCCACACTCTTGCTGCGTAAATCATTTATCAACGTGAAACACATGGGTCGAAGCGATAACGTCATGCTTTAGTCTAAGTCGTTGTGAGAATATAAATGAGTTCAATGTCGGTAATGCTCTATTTTTTGGGAAATTCAACAGTAAAAAATGAAGTGGTGTGTAGAAGAGTTTATAAGTAAGCGGAAAAGTGTCCCATGTATATAATGTTTCATTTTTAGCTCGGTGGTGGATACGCTCTTTCATATGAACTTGTTCGTTTTCTGGCGCTAAACGCTCGTTTATTCAAAATGTATAAAAATGAAGATGTATCAGTCGGAGCGTGGCTGGCCGGTAAATTTTGCCTCCTGTTTGTTGATTTTTCTTCTCACCCTCTTTGTTCAACAGGTCTGAATGTCAAATATGTGCATGATCCTCGTTTTGATACGGAATGGATATCGAGGGGCTGTAACAACGAATACCTTATAACACATAAGAAGACGCCCTCTGAAATGAAGAAACTTTACCATAATATGGTGAGCGTTTTCATAGTGTACAGGCTTTCGATTCGAGCGTTTTAAGGTCTTTTTCTAAAACTCAATCATCTCTTACAAAGTACCAGTAGCAGAGAATGCTCGTTGTTTAGGTGAATCGCCGAGTCTTGTGCGAGAAGGAATATCGTACTCGCTATTCATATGTTTATGACTGGACCGCACCACCCAGTCAGTGTTGCCAACGAATAAACGGAACGAATATACCATAGTGATATGCTGCTGTTTTTGTTTCATTCATAAGGTTGGATAATGATTTTGATCAGCCTCGAAGGTCGCTTGTGCCGAGTAAGATTCAGGATAACGCATTGATTCAAACGCACATGTAATCCATAGTCTGTGCGCTAGCAGGTTCACTAAACGTACTTTGCATTTCCTCTTATTCCCTTTACCTTCCAGGACTATTCTTTGATCAGCTCGACAGTTTTCTTCTCTGAGACAAACATGGCGTAATCATTGAGTGGTAATTTATAAATGGATAGCCTGTTCGGTTGGCTTCGTATCCGAAATGTGGATCATATTTATGCCAATAGCGCGTCTTACGTCATGTCAGGCATAATAGGTTGTCCTCTTAATTTGTGATACGGGTATGGAGCTTTTACCACGCAAAATAATGATATTTTGGAGATTTGTAGGTCAGTAGGAATTTCAAAGCATGATCTCTTGTTGGCAAAAGTTATGGGTGTCGGCCGAATATTTCCTAAATATCGTGCTCGGGAGTATTTCCCAACGTAATGAAAAAGGTTTGATATCTTGCCAGTGTTTTGACAGTTTCTAGAAGTATTTTGTTATTGTTCTCTTGTATGATTGTCGGGTAATGTAGTTGTCCATCATATATAAAGCAGACTTTCTTGGTGCATCAACGACTCTAAAAAGGTTCATACCTGGTATTATCCCAATGTAATCAAAGTTTTATCGAAAAGACGCGTCTAGGGACAGCTAGATTTAGTGTTATAGTGCCTATTTGCACTTGATGTAACTGCAGCCGAAGTTGATCGATTCAATGGACGAACATGCAGTCTTTGTGGGCACATTCACTGGCTGCAAGCAAAGGGAGGTACGTGACAGTTCTCATACATTGGGATGCTTTGGGAGCCAAGTTTTCCATCATCCCATTCTAGTTGGTGAATATATAAAGCTTTTCCAGCTTTTCTTGGCAGAAACAGTTGTGTTCCTTGCTTTGATGCTCAGAAATGTTTCACTACCATGGGTTTTTCTTGGTCGCAAATTTAACACTAGCACTCTCAAATATTGGTGGGTTTATAATCAAAATCTTGCTTTTGAATTATAAGAAGAATTGTTGAATTTTTGTTTTTCTTCGTCTGTTCCTTTTTCGTTCACGTAAATTCTATGTCTATTCAGGTTCAAATTTCTGCTGGATTACTTGTTTCTTGTAGTACCAGGACTTCTAGTTATGACAGTATTCTCACAATCTCTATTATTGCTGACATGTGTGCTGACCACATGTTTGGGCACTCTTCTAGTTTTCATCATTTGCGAATATTACATAACACCGGATCGACCTGCTGCCAAGATGGTTCTTAACAGAATCATTGATGATAGCCATTATCCAACTACATTTGTAACATATTTTAGGTTAGTTGAGATAGGTCGTTATAGCAGGCCTCCCTTCGTGTGAAAAATACATGATTACACAGTATTCGATCTTTTCAGGGCTTCTATGTTGTTGTCTGTAGCCATCGCAATTTTAGGAGTCGATTTTCCTGTCTTTCCTCGTCGATTCGCCAAAACAGGTTGGATGGGTTTTTTGCTGTGATGATATGACTTTTCCCGGGAACAAATTAACTTCAACTCCGTCCATGTGCGAGATTCATAAGAACAGAAGGCCTTGAAAGCGGCAGCATCTTAGTAGTGATGTGGGGTATAGGGTGGGTGGACTGTGAAAGAAGACTTACAAGGTTCTCAGAGTATTTCTTTGATAATTACTAATTGGTGCTTCATTCCTGTCTTGTAATTTAGTGAAATTTGTAAAAAGGATCTACACTTCCCGAGTACATAAAAAACTAACCAATTTATGACATAGTTCGGACTTCTAAACGAATTGGCTACAGCTCTTGAAGTGTTCCTTCCAGAAAAGTATGGCCACAGTTTGATGGACGCTGGCGTTGCCGCTTTCATATTCGCCTTAGCTGTCGCTAGCCGACTTAAATCTTTTAACACTTGGCACGGAAGAGTTCATCGCAAAAGGTATGGCAAGTCTCTTCATTCGAAATGCTGTAGAGAGTTAACCAAACGAACGACCTTAGGAACCCATTCGCACAACTTTATACCGTTTGGTTTGTTTTCCTGGTTTTCAAGTGTTAGCCCTACAGGCGGCTTATCTTGTATCCAAATCAATGGAAGAAAAGTTGTAGCCCAGGAAGCGTCGTTGCCTCCCTGTGCTTATCCATTTCTACATATGCAATCGAGTGTAGCCTCCTTGGAGTTTAGTTGAGTGTTATCGTACTGACTCGACTAGTTTTAGAAATACTCGAACATCGGCCTTCTAAACTCACAATTTCTCTTCCTTTGGATTTCGAATTGGTTGCGAGCTATTAAGAAGCCCGAAACCGTTATTGCCCCACCTCGTTGTGGCTTTTTATAGCGAACTTTCTCCTTATTTCCAATTTGTTTGTCGTTTTATAGAGGTTATTCGTGGATTCGATCTTCATTCGTCATACTGCCAATAATAGGAGTTGCACGCACGGTTCTGCTGACAGCATTGAACTATCCACAGCATGTAACAGAATACGGAGTACATTGGAATTTTTTCTACACCCTAGCAGTAGTAAAGGTTCATTTTACACTTCCATTTCGTCGTATTGTTACTTAATTGCCAGAAATTGATGGGGTATGAAATTNCACGAGACCACTTTTTTTCTCATAAGAGCAACGAGAAGTTAACGGGCTTACCAATAAACTGAATGTCGACGCTCCCGTTGTCAGATTTTAAAAATAACTTTTTAATTTGTAAGCGAAACATGTTAATCCAAGTCAAACGACATTTTGAAATGGGAGGGGTAGTGGAAATACTCAAGCTTTTGAGGATTCTATGATTTCTTTAAGAATCCATACTCCGTGTCATATACTCCGTTTTTAGAACAAGTAAAAGAACACTATTGAAGGTCTTTGATGTGACAAAATACTTTTTTCGACATGGTAACAGTTTCCCAACATTTTATCCCAAATTTTTGTTTTAGGTTGTTTCGCTGGTCTTACCAAAAAAGTTCCCACTTCTATGGGCTTTTCTTTTTGGAATATTTCAACAAACCATGCTCATGAATGGATATCAAGTAGGTTATCTTGTACAATTTCTGGCGTCCTTTCAGTTATTTCACTGTTTTATTTCCTCTACACCCACTATATGTAGCTAAAATCCTCGTCTCATTTGCATCTGCGAAAATCGACGAAGAGGTCTACGTTGATAAGTTAATATCATGCTATTTCTGAGTTGTGATACTCATTTCTTGATTCGTCTTTGACTTTCATTCTAGGAATGGATCCTTGACGGTGAAAATCGACGGGATACGCTGTTTAGAGCAAATGCTGAAGGTATTTGCTCACTAATGGGGTACATAACTATTTACTATTTAGCCGACACATTGGCAGCCTTCATTTCTAAGACGGGGTGAGTCTCTGTTCATTAAATTCCATGTTCTCTCATCTTGAAACCTCGGCATGTCTGTTGTACTTGCAATTGATAATTTTGCTTCTGCCACGAGGTTGTTAGGTGGGAATCTTTATTCTGGCCGACGTTTCGACGGACTCGTCGTTTTCAAAGGCCTGAAAATGGCTCAAAGCTTATGATTGCACACTACCCCACCAAGCGCTTCCTCCGCTCTAGCATTTCTGACCTCCTATCAGGAACGCACGAAAA